GGGGGTGCAGAGCCTCATATTGCCACCCACAGAAAAGGGCATTAGAAAGACATCTGAGTGCTGGGAGGGAGGCCATAGAGCATTGGGAAACGCTGGTATGGTAGTGCCTAACCCTACAGGGTCCTGAGTGCCATGTGAGGAGGCGGAGCCATGTCATCAGGTGGTGGAGCAGATGCAGCTCCCAGGGTTTGTGCATCAGCCTGTCCCTAGGGACCCTGGAATCCAACACTGCCCCTCAACTCTCCTCTCTCTCAGACAGGCTTTGCGGTACCTAAAGTCCCTCGTCTCCATTGATAGGCATGTGGTCAGGCATGTATTCGGCTTGTGTGGGCTAGTATGCCTTGGGTTTATTTATTTCTAAAATTTTGTAAAAGGGCTTTATCATTGATATCTTTCACTTGGAGATCAAAGCTTCTTGTCCCCACCGTCTCCTTTGGTGAATGCAGCTGTGGAAGGCAGAGGCTTTGTGGCTAATTAATAGAAATCGGGTCAGCATTTGTTTGGAAGGCTTTGCTGAGGGTGCTGGCAGGTCACTCTCAGTGCTCTGAGGATTCTGTCTTCAGCTGATTGCGGCAGAGGGCAGGAAGAACAGGCGAGGGCATGGCATCGGGGCCAGCCACCCACGCTTCTTGGCCCTGCTGGGCTGCCTGGCTCCCCATGAGCCCCAGCAGTGGGCTGTGAGCAGGTCCGGGAGCCAATGGACCTGTCCGGCCTGCAAGAGGGCCTCAGAGGGTGTGTGCTGTGTAAGGACACCCAGGCATTGGATTCACTCGGGACCAGCAGAGGGAAGGAGGACCTATGGAGGCCACACCAGCTCCCTCAGTATCTATGGAAAGAGATAGCGTAATCTGGGCCAAGCGTGCAGGTGAGCCCCTCCCTTGGCCTTCACTCCATGGACCCCACACAAAGTGGCCTGGTATTTCTGGGCCTTCAGCAGTCTTCAGGGAGCCCCTCCCAGCAGGGGAGGCCTTCCACAGGGCCCTTCCTTGCAGGTACCAACCCCACCCCAGGACAGGTTAATGGCAGACACACATTCAGGGCTCTTAGGGTTGTGTCATTGTGCCTCAGTCTCCCATGGTGTCTCAGGGGGACTCAGTGCATCTGGAGGAGACAGTTGTGTTTGTAGCCTAGGGTTGTCTTGAATGAGGGGCTCGTGTCTCAGAGTTGTGCTTTGTTTTCCTGAGAAACTGCACTGGGACCTATCAGGTAGCCCTTCTGGCTTGAGGGTCAGGGAGGGTGCTGGCAAGCTGAAGACCCCCATCCCTGAGGAGAGGTGCCCCAGCTCCCTACTGAGGGAGATGCTAGTGATGTCAGAGCCACAAGCTTCAAGCTTATCTTCCTCTCCCACCAAGTCTTCAGTGGTGGGGACAGAGGGACAGACTTAGAAAGACTTAGAACGGCATTTATTCTTTTAATCCCTCCTTTCTTGCTCATCTCCACCCCTAGTGGTCCCGAGGATGAAGTGGTTTTCCTGCAGATCTTTTAATTTATTTGTACACACACACACACACACACACACACACACACACACGCATGTCTTATAAACCCACAGAGGACTTTCTGAAGTGGATGGTTTACAGGAACACAGGCAGACATTGATGGCCTTGTCATTAGTATCCCCACCCCTTCCCACAGTCAGCCTGTCCTTCACCAGTGACCATGAGTGGCTCAGCCAGCACAGGGTGCTGGGGACACGGGACAGCACTGCCCATCTGGTTACCTAGAAGGACACATGTTTTCATGTAGAAATATTTGTTGTATATAAAAAGATAGACAGTATATTCAAAAAAAATATATATATATATATATATATACACACACACACACACACACACATACACATATACATTCACACACACATATATCACATCACATTGCTTTTTCAACACAGAAAAAGAGGGGGAAGCGTCAGTAAAGATTTAAGTGGCAACAGCTGAAGGGCCCTTTCAACTGGAACAAATCTGAGTTCGTTCTTTTCTGCTGTCAAATAGCAGCTCTAGCAAATCCTAAATGTTGTCTGTGGATTTAGTGACTGGGTCGACTTTCAGTGATTCCAAAGACTCGCGTCTGTGCCAGAGCCTGTTAGTCACGCTCCCTTGTCCCCCCATGCTCAGCTGCCTTCTGGTCCCGTGGATGTGCCGCTCAGCCCAGCCTGACTGCAGCCCCTGTGGGAGGCCAAGTTCTGGGGGATGGCTTGGTTGCTGAGGGCACTGTGGATGTTGGTCTGTCTCAGGGGACAGGAGTAGCCTGTGACCCCCCTACTCACACTCAAGGGTCCCACTCCTCAGGGGACAGCATGACCCAAGGAGCCCC